CCCCAAAACCCCAAAACCCCAAAACCCCAAAACCCCTTATAAGCCAAATTATATTGATATTATTATAAAATAAAATGGATGTAAATTTTGAATCTCTTTTCCTTCCATCACCAACCAATAGAAAGAGAGCTTATGAAGAGCTGAGCATCAGACTAAACACCACTAAGGACAAGAGGGTTTTACGTAACCAAAGGTAGGTGCTAACCCCAACAGCCTGGACGCCTATTAAAACGATGAGTTTTCCGATACCCATGTCTTATAACTGAACTTTTGGGGTTAAAATCCTTCTGCCTGCTTGTTCAAGAATCCTTCTTAATAAAAATCACCATCAATTCTAGAGGGATAAACCTGAAAGTATCGAACAGAACTAGGCTGCAGCAAAGTCTGGCAAGGCCAGAGCCTGGCCAGGCCTTAAGGTAAGCTAGCTCTTGGGTAACGACTGCTTGAGGGTTTACAGAACTTTTATTGTGAGCTTGATTAATAACCAGAAACTAGATTTAAGCTAAATTTCGGCCGCTGGATTAAGCCTTTATTTAACTAATGGGTCAAATATAAAGCTTTATGCTATTTGGTAATATCTTGCGACATTTTGAGGTTCCTGGCTTCAATTCTGTCAACATTTTTGGTAGGTTATAGAACTTAGTGACTCTTCGAAGTATGTAAACTTTTTGTTAGGTTTAAAAATATTAGGAAGGGTCTGAGAGACTTTAAGAAATTTCTTAGTAAATATATCTTGATCAAAACATTTCCTATAGTCATAAAACGATTGACTGAGCTTTCCTTAACTACCTGGGATCTGTCTATTCTGTAGGGTTAGTTCTGTTTCTCATACTTTTAAATTCATGTTAAATCTTTGAAAAATATGTAAAATTACTAGAAAATTTAAGCTATAAATAGGAGCAAGGTGGCCTCAAGACTAAAGATACTAAATAGCAGTGGTACTGTACACCAACATTTAAAAGGTATTGCATCTATAAATTTTAGCAAGGGGTAATCCTACAAGAGAAAACAGGAATCTTGACCTCCAAGAATTCATGACCGAGCAGAAGCCACCAAAAAGTATATAATTACTCTTATTCTTCAGTCTCCAACTTAAACAATGATTTGAATGATATAAGAATCATCAAGAAGTCAGAACCACTCTTACTCAAACATCAAAGTAGGGATATTCAAGCTGTGATCAGTAAAGAAACCCTCAATTTCAAGCTTAGTAAAAGAAGCCCCAGGAAGATCTTCAAGTTAAAAAGAAAGATCCTTCTCGGCTCTCGAAGGTACTTAATAACTTCATTATTTTAGATCCCCAATCAGAATAATTAGGCCGTATATTGCAAAATCAAGGCTGCGAAACCTTCAAGACCTGAGTGATACTAACCTGCAAGCTAATAACACCTTTGAGGAGCTTTCAGTCATGCATCCTCATACCATTGACATTGCGAAATAGGAACTACACGCAAAGGTTTAAGTCGAATTGTCGCCGTAGACCTCTCCCTCGATTAATGCCTCCCAGCTGTATCCTCATGAGAAATGATGCCTCCACTTTCCTGTAAATAGCAGTCAGATTTTGTATATTTTCATTCAATTTCTAAAAGATCTTTAGGGGTTTTGGGGTTTTGGGGTTTTGGGGTTTTGGGG